TTTTCCGGCCTTGGATTTTCCCGTGCCGGAATTTGGAGCCTTCCCTTTGGTTTTCCGTGTGCTTCTCCCCCCTGCCTCCCCTTTCTGTTTGCCTTTGGGCTTTGGATCATTTGCAAAACCTTGGGTCTGGGTTTTCAATCTGTGGGTCCCCGTTCGTGTTGGTGGAATTCGGTCGGGAGCCCCACCTTTCGGTTTGTTAGAAAAAAAGGTGTTTTGGCAAAACCTTGGGTTTGGGGTTTGAATCCGTGGGTCTGTCGGGGGAAGAGGCCGTTCGTGTTGATGGAATTCGGCCGGGAGCCCCACATTCCGGTTTGTTAGAAAAAAAGGGGTGCTCTAGAGGGGGTGCGATGTTCGTCTGGGTGCGTCGCCGCCACTTGATCTGTCATGCATTTATGATAATATAATTGAAGGATAATTTCACTGAAAATTGCTTTGTTGATGTGGAACTGGAACGTGACGGGAAGTGTTGAAGGAATCCAATGATGATGATTTAATTGCAGGCGAAAGGTAGTTGGCAGGTGTTGAACAGGAGTCGAGAACGAAATTGTGATTGACTGCTGGTGATAGAAGATGTCTCGTCGGACTGTGATCTGTTGTGACGCTTGATGGAAATCAATTTCTGTGTGCAAGATTCAATGTAGAGATGGATGTGCCGCATTTAAATCTAGACATGGATGTGTACACTTACACCAATAGGATCATAGTGACATCAGATGTATCATGCAAATAATTTCCCGTGGTGCGCGGGCTATTTTTTAATTCATGGTCATTTATATTTATTTCTTTGAATATTAAATCTATGGTGCAATTATATCTATCCTAATTAGGTTGCGTGCAATAAAGATAAGTCAAGAAAACTCACAACTTGGGGGGGGGGGGCATGCTCAACTTTATTTCCGGCGATGAAATCAAGTAAGATCGGGGACACGATTTGTGCAGAAACTCGTCACCTGAGTAGAAAGGAAACAAAGAACCGGCGATGTGACAAGGCGGCGGCGTTTGTGCCTTGTTTGGGTGGCGGCGGAGGGAAGGGTAGTTGCCGGCGGTGGGGGTGGTCGCAGATCAGCTCGAGAAGAATCATGGCA